TCCCATTCCTTTGGATAAAAAGAAAAACGAAAACAAAATAATTTTAAAAATAAAATATTTCCAAAGCGTAGTTGAAAGTTATTATTGTATGATTCCTGGTCTAGACAGAAAGCGATTTGTTGGCTTTTCGATTTCTCTCAAAAACAACGACAACGACAATGTTAAGCATGAGCGATTTCATTTGAAATTTCATTATAAGAGGCAGCTGAAGCTCATGTTGTATGCTTTCCTTTCATTTGAAATTTGCGGTTCCACATATGGATAAGATTAAATGAAAAACACAAAACGAATTACTTTAACGATACTTGAAGTTTTGAAAAATATCCAATTCTTTAAAAGACAAGAGAAACGACTTACTTAATCATTGAACCTTGATGAAGAATGTCATAAAAAGGAATCATCTTTACACAAAAACGCTTATTTTGTAAAAGTACGTTTTCCCCCACCAGTACAATATCATGCATGCCCATTCAAATACAAAATGTCATGCGATGATACAACGATATAGCCATACCCTCACCATACCCAAAGTAACCTACATCGCGTCACCTGAATTAACCCTATTATCACAATACTCTCATCATACCTGAATAAGTCATCCCTACATCACCACAATACTAGTACCCTCACCATACTCATATCAATACCATCACCAGAATACCCTCACCATACACAAACTAACCGTTACCACATCGCGTTACCACAGTATCCGTACCCTCAGTTAATCAAATTAACCCCATCGGCACAGTACCTTCACCATACCTAAAACCAACCATTCCTCCATCGCTGACATCACCATCACCGACTCCCTCACCTCCGGCAGGTCTTCAGTCCGGGTGACTTCGTTTGCCGCAAGGGAGACGTCGGGAAGGAAATGTACATCGTGAAAAGAGGAAAGCTTTCTGTAGTGGCCGACGACGGAAAGACTGTGTACGCAACTTTAGGTGCTGGCAGTGTCTTCGGAGAGGTAGGTCTTAGTGGCGGGTTTGTGCTGTGTTGTGTGTTTAGGGAGGGGAGGGGGTATGGGTGTGTGTGTGTGGAAGGGGAGGGGATTATGGGTGTGTGTGTGTGAAAAGGGAGGGAGGGAGGAAGGAGGGGGTGTATGTGCGAGGGAGGGGGAAGGAAGGTGTATGTATGTGTGGTGGAGGAAGGAGGAGGTGAATGTGTGTATGTTTGTTTGTTATGTGTACTATATGTATGTATGTGTGTTTGCTATGAACTAACATACGAAAAATAAAATAATAATTAGTTTTTCCAGTTCTCTCTCTAAACGTACACAACAGAGGCAAGGTTGATATTACAAGAGAATCCTGATTGCTCACGTGTTTGTGCGTTTCTGACTGTATCGAAAGTGATATATAATCCATATAAAATAATTTTGCTCATCTGTTCTCACCATCCATACGAACATTTCAAATCACGTAAATAATACATAAAAATAAATCCAAAACCAAATAGAATAAAGTCCACTAACTTGTCCTCGATACATTCAACCCATTCCACACAAACACCAAGACCGCTAAAAAAAAAATTATCTATCCATAGTTTACAGAACAAGGGCTAAATCTCAAACTCCTTCCAGGTCTCGATTCTGAACATCGTCGGGAACAAGACGGGGAACAGAAGAACAGCCAATGTCAGGAGTGTTGGTTATTCTGACCTGTTCTGCCTCTCGAAAGATGACCTGTGGGACGCTCTGACGGAGGTAGGTGTATAAACTTACATTTGATTTTCGTATTTGTATTTCTTTTTGATTTATCAAAGGGTTTAATGGAAGTTTATTTTAGCTGGTTTATAGAATTGGTGCTTTATGGAAGAAAAAAACACAATGTGAAAACTAGAAAATGGTGCTTTATATATTTAAGACTTTGGAGAAAGACTTTGGTTAATCTTTGTTGATGCTAAAATATTTTGGCGACTGAGGTGTTGTAACTGAAAACATTGTTTATAAAGATACTGCTGAATATCATTGATAAAACACTGTATAATGGAATATTTTGAATTCATATCACACATAAATATTTTTGGGACGGAAATGTTTAAAGAAATGTTGTAGACAAGGTTATACTTTAATTAAGAAGCTGTCAGTAAAGTCTGTAATTACCAATATCATTGATAGAAACATAGGAAAATATTACAGGGATTATAGGATTGTAAAGATAACGATACTGTAGATAGGAAATATATATTGCAGGTAAGGGCAGAAAAGGGTATTATAGATAAATTAATTGCTGATAAAATTATATTATTAACGATAAAATGCCGTAGAAAAAATATTGCACACACACACACACACACACACACACACACACACACACACACACACAAACACAAACACACACACACACACACACACACACACACACACACACACACACACACACACACACACACACACACACACACACACACACACACACACGCGCGACACACCAACAAACACACACACACACACACACACACACACACACACACACACACACACACACACACACACACACACACACACACAAACACACAAACACACAATACACACACACTCACACACGACACACCGACAAACACACACACACACACACACACACACACACACACACACACACACACACACACACACACACACACACACACACACATACACACACACACACACACACACACAATACACACACACGACACACCGACAAACACACACACACACACACACACACACACACACACACACACACACACACACACACACACACAAACACACAATACACACACACGACACACCAACAAACACACACACACACACACACACACACACACACACACACACACACACACACACACACACACACACACACACACACACACACACACAATACACACACACTCACACACGACACACCAACAAACACACACACACACACACACACAATACACTCACTCTCACACACGACACACCAACAAACACACACACACACACACACACACTCACACACACACACACACACACACACACACACACACACACACACACACACACACACACACACACACACACACACACAATACACACACACTCACACACGACACATCAACAAACACATATATAAACACCTATCTACACTACCCATCTACATCACGAGATCCTATCCTCCTGCAGTATCCTGACGCCAAGAAGTCCCTGATGGAGCGAGGGCGTCAGCTGCTCATGAAGGACGGGCTCCTAGACGAGGAGGCGCTGAAGGCGGCGCAGGAGCAGCAGGAGACCATGACAGACAAGATTAGTCGTTTTGGTAAGAAATCCGGAAGAAAGATTTTTTTTTTTTTATTATTGTTGATCTGAGAAAAATAAAATGAGATTCATAAATAAAGACTTCTGTGAGAAAGATTTGAGGGAATGTTAACGTTAGTCTGAGGAAATGTTAAAATATTAATGAATAAGAATATAAATAGTGATTAATAGGTATGATGTTGTTGAGGTTTAGGGAAAATGTTAAAGGAAATATAATAAGTAAATAAAGTTAATTATATTGCTGGAAAATGTTATCAAAGAAAATTTTGATTCAGATCTGTAAAAATGTTAGTAATATTTAGGAGAAATCATATAGATATAGGAAAATGTTACTGATATTCGTGGATATTATCTAAGAAAATATAAAGATATGTAAAAATGTTAATAAAATTTTGGGATGACGTTGAAAAAAAATACAGCGATAGGTGTTTATGATATTCTTCGAAAATGTTGAAGAAGATGTAATAATATAACATAGAATGTTAACGCTGTTTGGAGAAACTATTAAAGAAAATACAAACCGTCTATAAAAAAGAACTACAAAATATAAAGAAATCTCAACATATAATTATATTTCTGGAAAGTACTCGAGCTCTGTCACTGCCTTCGCTGCACAGATAAATCGGCTATAAATAAAATCTTAAATGAATCTGACCAATTACATTTAAAAACGTAAAATCTCTTCCGTGGAACTCATGGCACTAAAACAACGGGGATATGCCTTGCTAACGGGCGCATTGCACGGGAAGAGAAAACCAGTTAATATAACATAAAGAAATATAACGCGATTTGAGTACTGCCGATGTTATGAATAAAGACGAAGATTAATGAGTGATAGTGATGCTATTGATATCTAAACGGAAATTATACAGATTTAGTGGTATACGAAAAGGTTGATGATACTGGAAAAAATATGAAATATGATTTCTTCAACTATATTCGACGATACGCCGATGGAAATATAAAGATGTATAATTAAGTTGATAATAATATGTTGTATTATTACATTACTATGAAAATGTCAATGATTTATAGGAAGACTTTAATGAAATTACAACATGTCGAAACGGTAATACCAGGGGATGTTCTACTGCAAATGCGATGATACGGAAGTTCTAATTATATGAAGAAATATGTTAACAGAAATGTAACAATATGCCTTGCTTTTTGCTTATGTAGTGTGGTGTCATCCCTGTAGAGTTTGTATTGAATATTCAAAATTAGTATTTAGGATTTTATAGAATTGTTACGTTCCCTAGTTAGGGTCTCCCATTTATAGTTTATGCATTATGTATTATTATGTATTATTTCCATTACTATTAGTATCTTTATTAGTACTACGTTTTTATTATTATTACTATCATCATTAGCATCGTTATATTTTCTAGTACCATTTTTGTCATTACTGTTATTACTATGATTATTACCATTATTACTATTACTAATATCATTATCATCACCAGTATCATCACCATTATCACCATTTCTCTCACACGCCTCCCCCCCCTCCCCCTCAGAAACCTCCATCGACACGCTAAACACCCGGCTGGCGAGACTGCTGGCCGAGTACTCCAGCGCTCAGCAGAAACTGAAGCAGAGACTCACTAAGATTGAGCGTCGTCTGGATTTCGACTGTGACGTCACCAACCCGGCATCTCCGCGGTTGAGTCCCTATTTCCCGTTGTCGCCCAGGTGGGTCTGATTGTAAGGGATCGAGGGTAGAGGTAGAGGAGTGTGGTGGTAGGAAGGGTTTGTGGTTGAAACAAAAGAAAGCTTTTTTTTGTGTGTGTGTGTCTGTTTTTGTTTGTTTGTTTGTTTGTTTTTTGTCTTTTTTTGTTTGTTTGTTTTTTTGGGGGGAGGGGGGGAGTTAAGTTTTGTGAGTTTTTTTGTTGTTTTTTTGAGGGGGGGTGGAGTTAAGTTTTGTGAGATTTTTTTTTTTTTTTGGGGGGGGAGGGAGAGGATTAGGGAGTTTTGTGAGGTTGTGATGTTAATGGAATGAGGAAGAGTGAATTTTAAGGAAGGGTGATTTAAGAAATTTAAATTTTGAAAAGGAGAACAAGGAAAGGGTGTGTCTGTAAAAAAAAAAAAAAAAAAAAAAAAAAAAAAAAAGTCGATATACTTGATCTTTGTGACTATTTTTAGTGATAGAAGATCAGCTTTAGTATCTCTTTATGTAAATTAATAAAACCCTAACATTGGTCTTTCTCTATAAAACATCAATACACAAGTCAATCTTCTTACAAATATGAATCTGACAAAGAAAATAAAACAACCGACAAAAAAAAAGCAAAAAAAAAAAAAGAATAAATAAAATCACCAACAAAAAATCCAAACAATCAGAAAAAAATAAACCATTTATCCATATCACCCATTCAACACCCCCCCCTTCACCCCCCTCCTCTCCCCCCCAGGACCGGCATGACCCCCTCGCCCTTCCCGCTGGCTGCCACCCCGACGGCCCGACGAAAGGACGCCCTCTCCGTCGCCTCGGGTCCTCCTCCGCCCTCGGACGACGAGCCTCAGTCCCTGCCATCCTCCACCCACCCTGTCATCCCTGCCAACCGTGCCAACACCTCGGCTTCCCACGGCAGCGAGGCGACCGTGGTTGGCAAGAGCAGTCACCCCCTCCCCCAGCAGTGCTCCTCCCTCCCCCTCCCCACCCCCACGCTCCTCGTGCCTCCGTCGCCCTCTCGCAGGGACACCATTTAACATAGAAAAGAAAATAAGTGAATAAATCAACAAATAAACAAACGGTTATACACACACAAACCAGCACACACAAATAAATGAACAAAAATACAAACACGCACATCAAACAAAACAAGCGACATATACAAAACGTAAAAACGAACAAACATAAACAAACACACACACACACAAAACACAAATAAGCAAGCAAATAGACAAACAAACAAAGACAAACAGATAGACACACCAGGACGCCCGTAGAAGGAAAAAAAAACGATTCAGTATTTTTATCTATGTATTCTGTGACTCGTGAACGGGTAGCAGCTGGTAATGCTGTTGTGCCCATGTTAAAGGGACTCCAAGGGGTTATATTTACGATCCTACAGTGATG